TTGGGCTTTTAGTCCAATTAGGTAGCTGTTGATTGCCCCCAAGATAAAGGTGCCACTACTGCACCAATGTCATATGCTATGCCAGCCACTAATGTGATTATTTGGTCTTGAAGCTGGTGTTGGAGCTCAGTGACCATTGCAGAAGAGGGGGTAGAAAGACTGTAAGAGCGAGGGAACAGGTGCAGGACCATATGGAAACAGAATCCTACAAACTCCTGGGACCCTGCTCATATGATTCTATGACAATGGTGTCAGCATACAAAAGTCCCATGCAAACTCATGCAGACAAAAACACAGCATAGAACTGGGAAAATGAACAGCAGACTCCAATCTTAGCTGAGGATACACTGGCAGCTGATCACTGCTGGGTGAGGAAGAGCTGGTCTTCCTAAAATAAGACTCTAGATAGCTGACGAGACCTCAGTGGATGGACTTGCACAGGGGAACATCTGGGGACACTGACTTGACTCACTGGGCCTTAATATGAATGACAGAGTACATGGGCTCCGGGGGGAGTGGGAGCATGCTGGTGGGGGCGGGGGTATAAAGATGATTAAGATTCTTTGAGATATTCTGTATAAAATACACAAAAACTCAATAAAAACAATTAAAAAAAAAAAAAGAGCACTGGCTACTCTTGCAGAGGACCCAGGTTCAATTCCTGGTACCCAAATGGTGGTTAATAATCATCTGTAAGTCCAGTTCCAGGGGATCCAATGCCTTCTTGTAACCTTCACAGGCACTGCACGACACAGGTGCACTTGCACACATGTAGGAAATACACTCATACAACAAAATAAAAACAATAAAATATAAAAAGATAATTTTATAAAAAGAGAATAACTATTCCAAGTTTTCTGTTATCCCCAAATGTGACCGCCAAGCACTAACCAGTTCAGTAACTTATGAAAACAGCAAGCTTAGGTTATTGTTCGTAACATGAGCTCTATGTTATCAACCAGGCCATGTTAATGTGTCTAGTTAACCAAACACTAACTTTGGTGTTTCTGTGGAGGTATTCTGCAGATAGGATTAAAGCCCACAATCTGCTGATTTTAAGCATGGGGTATACTCTACAGAAGACTGGGCTAATGAGATGGCTTAGTGGGTAAAGGCACTTGCTGCCAAGCCTGATGGCCCATGTTCAACACTGGGACCCATATACCAGAGAGAGGGAACTGCCTTACGTGTTGTTCATGTACACTAAATAAATGTAATAAAAAAGAGAAGAAATTCCATTCACAGACAACAGCATCAGCTTGTCTGTCCTTCACAGCACACCCTACAGAGCTCACACTTGCCTAAATGGTTCCCACAATCACATAAGCCAATTCCTTGCAATAACTCTCACTCCTATCCATTCTCTCCTTAACCCCAGTTCTGTGCCTGACATATCTATCCATAAACTGCTAATACTTCAGAAGCATAACATATCCCCAATTAACTTTAAAGAGAAATGTATAAACCTTGTATGGCTCTGAGATACACAGTCCCAAACAATGTATGTTTATGCACAGTTCTAGCAGCTAGGTTATTTTATTCATGTCAGAATAATCCTAGAGTTCTTCTGGACCTGAAGATATGGGGCAATGTGGGAAATGGTCAGGGCTAACATTTGCTAATAAGCACTTGCTCTGTGCTGCCTCTATTTCACCTACACAAAGCCACTCCAGAAAAGATCAAGTTGGAGGAGGGCCAAGAGCCAGCTTATTTTGTTCATAGCACCTTACTCGCCGAACGCATCAAAACTGAGCTATTATGATATACATGTATTTGTGGTTTTCATACAGGATGGTCCTCAGTTTGTAACTCCCATAAGTTCCCATTACTTCCTAAATGACCAGGATAGAAGGGCTCATGTATTAGGTCTCTCATCCCAGGCTTCTGAAGCCACTTCAGAGTGACGAAAGAGAAAACTGTCTTGTTAGAAGAGCACTCTAGGCTTCAAAAACAAAACCCTTTCCCTCTGCTCTTATTCGCCTTCCTCTAGTGTCTCCTGTCTCCAAGCCACAGGAATTAGAAGTCTTCTTTGCCAAGATGGGTCATAAAAACTGAAAATATGGAGCTGAAGAGAGGTTCAGCAGTTTAGAAGATCCAGGTTTCGTTCCTAGCAACCACATGGCAGCAAACAACTGTTATTAACTCCAGTTACAGAGGATTCAATGCCCTCTTCTGGCCACCATAGGAATTGCAGGCAAAACAGTCACACACATACAGTAAAAATAAATACATTTTTATAAGCCTGAAAATATAATCTTTCCCTATCTTTGTGTCTTGGTTAGCCATAAGGAAATCTCTGACAGTTGGTCAGAGCACCCTCATTTCATCCCACCCATACCTCAAGGAATGATGACTGCCCAGAGGGTCGAGAAGAATCTGGACAGACAGACACAGTAGGGTTACACGCTGTCCTGATACATTAGGTCACACCTTTTTGGTCTGATCACATTTCCATGTTTCTATGATGACTAGGCATTGAAGTCTCCATAAAAACCCAAAAGGCCTGGGTTTGGAGAGCTCCCCTCCCTGAGTGCATGAACTCTTTCAGGAAGGGCAAGGAGAACCTACCCATGCCATGAGGATGGTGCAACCCAAGTCTGCAGGAAGTGAAATCCTAGACCTTGTCCTATGGAGCTCTTCATCTGGCTGCTTATTTATACCCTTTAAAACATCCTTTGGAATAAACTAGTAAATATAAGTACAGTGTATCCCTAAGTTCTTTCTATAAGCAGCTCTAGCAAATTAAATGTAATTGTGGGGGACAGTACGGGGCTGGGGGGAGAACTCTGAATGTTAACCAGCGAGCCAGAAGTTCCAGAGTCCTGCATTTGTGACCGGGTCTGAGGTGAGTGCAGTCCTGTCTGTCTGTCTTGTCTTATCCATCCATCCATCCATCCATCCATCCATCCATCCTCCCTCTGTAGCTCAGGCTGACTAGAGCTCACTATGTAGTCAAGGCTGGCCTCACACTCATGGCAATCCTCCTGCCCCTAGTGCTGGGATGACAGGCATAAGCCACTATGGACAGCTTGTGGATGCAATCTTAAGAGATGGAGCCTTCGGCCTACAGTATCTCAAGCTACCTTCAGCACTTGGTAGCATGACTGAATGAACTGGAGGACATCCAGCTCTGTCCATGGCAATGCTCATGGCATGCTTGCTAGTGGTGAGATAGTCCCAGACTTGGGATCACAGGAGTGACCTGTGTTCTAGAACCTAGATGTTCATCTAGGAGGAAAACCCAAGTTGTCTTTGCCTCTGTACCTTCAGATGGCTAGGGTTTCTCAGAAGCCTCTGTTTGTTCTTCCGTCACTCATGACTACACTGTTGAGAATTTTCTTAGGGCCTAGTGCATCTCTGTGCAGCATTCCTTTAGAGATGCCAATCTCTGCATACCACACTCTAACTCTTCACTAAAACTGCCTGATATGGCAGGAATGTATAAGAAAAGAAAGATAAAGACCAAAATATTGGGAAGAGAACAAAGGTTTTCTAGCACTGGCAGGTCAACATATGAATATGTGGATGGAATTTCCTTCGCTATTTGAAGTTAAGCAATTTGTATTTTTTAATTTGCTAGGCTGTATCTTTTAATAACATAGGCCTACTTAGTAATTTACATGATGAAGTTGTAGACAGAAGATGCAAACAGCACTCTCTGTAGAACAAATACTGGGATTTGGATTTTTTTTTTTTTTTTTTTTTTTTTTTTTTTTTTTTTTAAAAGGAGGTCTCCCTGAGCCCCAGCTGTCCTGGAACTCACTATGTAGACCAGGCTGGCCTTGAACTCACAGAGATCTACCTGCCTCTGCCTCCCGAGTGCTGGGATTAAAGGTGTGTGCCACCATGCCCACCTGTGATTTGGATTTTTAATAAGCCAGAGAAAGCCCAAAGCTTTCTACCATCTAAGAAGTGCAGAAATGTGTGCAAGGCCAGCAGCACTGTCACTTAGATTTGATCTCAAGCTTACTCAGCTCTGCACAGACCCAGGGGACAATTGTTTGCTCCTTCCAGAGAATGTGAACATTGATGTGGTGGTTGTAGTTTTCTTAAGACCAAATGGTTGCATCAATTTTTTTAAATAGAAGAAAATATATAGCTTTATTAAATGGTTACATACTTAGCACCAGTATAGAAATTACTGACTTCACCCTGCTACATGTATGAATGGTACAATATGATATCTAGAATGTTAATATGTGGTTCTTGCTCAGAAGTTTAAATGATGCAATGCCCAACTGAAAGGAAATATTTTCATATCAGAATATAATTGGATACTAAAATGAGGTAAATTATTTTAGAATTTATATTTTGAAATCTATGTCAAGCATCTCTAAAATACTATTATTTTACATTAATCAGTAATTAGTTTAGTGTCCTTATCTGGCCTCCATCCTGTGTGATAGTTTCAGGCTGGTCAAACTTTAGCATAGTAAGCTGTACAGCTGAAGACTTTAATGCCTGATATTAGTACAGTAGGTAACTAGTTAGAAGAGCCATCGAGCCATCCCCCAGTTTCTAACAGGCTAGTTCCATGCACACTATGACTTATATGACTACAGGACCAAAATCAAGCTGTTATTACATATGCGGGTCAAGGAGGGGCTGTCATCACAAAACCTGTTAACCTGGTAAATGCTCATTCGTGTAGTAACCACTTGCCTGGGTTAGTCTGCACCCTAACATCTAGATGGTTATAACGCGTTACAGACCAGTATGTCAATTTCTCCATAACATTCTTCATTTGTAGACACAAAAGGTTCTTGTCACAAGAAAGTGCAAAGGCTCTGCTTAATTCCAATTTACAAAGAAAAAGCATAGCTAAGAATCAACTTCATCTAATTTATCCTCATTACACAGACTATCACAAGAAGAAAACTTCCGATGAATTGGGTTGATGTGGAGGAATGGAAGACGGCTTCTTGAGAAGTCAATTAGAAGATCGAAATACTGGCTTTTAGATTATCCTAGGGTAATTATCTAGGTCTGAAATAGCTTACCAGTGATGCCATTGGACTCCTGCTTCAGATCACAGTACCAGAGTCGGTTAACTGGATCACATCCCTCCCAGATTGATAACAAGACATAGCGACCATCATCAGATAACTACAAAGAAGACAAAAACAGTGCATAAACCTGATTAGGACAGACTTTTTGTTAGAAGACTGTTAAATGTATATTAATTATTCTCATCATTGTGACCAAAGAGCCAACAAGAAGTAACTGAAGAGAGAAGATTCATCTTGGCTCATGGTTTAAGAGGACATGGTTATCATGACAGGGAAGACATGGCAGCAGAAGCTTGCTCACATCTGGGCAGATGAGGAACAGAGACAGGCAGGAAGCTAGCCTGGGCTATATACCCCAGCCCCTGCCCCCAGCTAGGCCCCACCCACTAAAGGATCCACATCTTCTCAAAGCAGCACCACCAGCTGGGGACCAGATGTTCAAACGGAGGCTGTGGAGGACATTTTATATTCAAAGCACAACAAACGCTAAGCAAAATACTAAAGAAAACTTCAAAAGCACTGCCTTTATTCCAAACTCAAAATCTGATAATAAAGTTACTTTAAAAAAAGATCATCAGGTGGGGCTGGGGAGATGGTTCAGTGGTTAAAAGCACCAGCTGCTCTTGCAGAGGACCTAGGTTTGGTTTCCAGAATGCACATGGTAGCTAACAACTGTATGTAACTCCAGGTCCAAGGGATTCAATGCCCTCTTCTGGCCTCTGTGAGCAACAAGCATATGGGGACACTTACACTGTAGGCAGAATACTCTTATACATAAAATAAAAATAAATACATTAAAAAAAGACCACCAGGGCCTAGTATGGTGGCACTTTAATCCCAGCATTCCATCCTGGCACTCCATCCCAGCACTCAGGAGGCAGAGGCAGATGGATCTCTGTGTAATCGAGGCAGCCTGGTCTACATATCAAGTCCCATGCCAGTCTGGAAAAAAGAATCCACCACCAATTTTATTTCACTTAGTTGCAGTTTGAGAAAGCATAGCTATTTAAGTAGAAAGTATCACTAGGTGATAACTGAATGTCATGATTTTTATTTAAATTTCCTTTTATTTAAATTTCCTTTTTTATTAACAAAAATATATACAATTTTATATTCTGAACAGCAACACTTTTTTTTCTTCTTTTTTTTTGAGACAGTGTCTCCCAGCAGCCCCAACTACCCTGGAACTTGCTATGTTGCTATGTATCAGGCTGGCCTCACTTTCACAGAGCGCCACCTGCCTTTTGGCTAGGTCACAGTGCCCAGGTATCTGGCTGAGCATTAGTCAAGATGATTTTGTGACAGCAGCTCTTAGATGAATTTGTGTTCAAATGAATACACATGGGGGGAAGATTTCCCTCCACAATGTGGGTGGATCTCAAACAATTAGTCGTGGGCCTTAAAAGAACACAGACAGGCCTTTCCTCAACAAGAAGTGGGCTGCTTTGGTTCTCAACTGTAATTCTTTCCTGAAATTCCAACCTGCTAGCCCCCATTGCAAAATCTGGGACTTGGCCGGCCGCCATAGTCATGAGGCAATTTCATTTTTTAACTTTTTTTGGGGGGGGAGAATTTCATACATGATTATAGTACTTGCATTATATCCATCCTTCCCAGGCCCCCTCCAACTTCCTCCCATGTCCCCCCAACTACTTGTATGAGGCAATTTCTTAAAATCCTTTGTCCATAGAAACACATGCATGCACACATGCACACACACCCTACTGGTTCTTTTTCCTTGGAGAATACTGCTACGATTACCAACTGTTAGTCCTGCATTTGGTCATTCCATAGGTATTTGCTAAGCATCTATGTACAAGCTGATGTGCAAGTTTTGTTTCTAGATGCTAAGGATGTATCAGTGAACAACTCAGGAAAAACGTTACAGGCAACAGAGGAGACAAATAAATATGGAGCTAAGCTATACATCACGCACCGAAAAGTGCCATGGAGAACACAAACAGATCTCAGGGAAGGAGACAGGATGTGTGAAGACGGCCCTAGTTTTAACAAAAGCACCAAGGTGGGCTGTTTTCTGATGCACTGTTTCACATTACTGTCTTTTTCTTTTTTAATCACTGTTTCCCTATGTAAAATGTGTTTTCTTCTCTGGAGGTTTTTAATATTTCCTTGATATTTTTGGTTTCCTGCAAATTTATTACAATAGACAGAATGCTTGAGCTCTATTAGGCTTCTTTGAACAAGGGGTTTGTATATTCTATCAAACATGTAACTTTGCTGCTAGTTTCGCCTCATGCATATTTCTTAAATACCCTCATCCCCATCCCGGCCTTCAGCACACAAGGTGATTCACTCAGTACTGCCCCACTGGTCAGTCAGATTGTGCTTATTTTTGTTTCCTCTCTTTGTGATTTAGTTTTAACTGTCCTGTCTTCAAATTCATTGGTATTTTTATTTACAGAATCTATACTGCTGTTAAACTTATGCAGAAAGATTTTCATTTCAGAATTTATCTTTAGAGCAAACAACATGGTTCATGTTTTCATTTTTCTGTTTATTATACCAATTATTTTCTAAAAATCTTGACAAATTTTAAAATCTTTAATTTGTAATTTCTGGACGTACTCCTAGGAGTGAGTTCTCTTGTGGCTATAGGTCACATTTCTCTGTTCATTTGCTACATGTAGTGACATTCTGAACTGAATTTTAGGCATTTGGAATGTTGTCTAGAATTTTTTTTTTTTTTTCACCTGACTGTAAGATGTTTTGAGGCAGTTAACTTGCTGGCAAACCAGGTGGACTTTCATTCAGGCTTGTTTTCCAGCTTTGCTGGCTGAGGCCTACAGCCCAATGGCTAAAGCACCAACTCTTTTTTTTCAGAGACTTCACTGAATGTCCTGGGTGTTCCTAAGGTCTTTCCACAAAGCTCTGCCAAGCCTTTAACAGCTGTCAATTCACAACTCCTGGGCTGTTATTCTGAGCCAGAGTGAGGAAAGCCCATTCAATTCACACTCCTCATGACAGAGAGCTGAAGCCAGGAGAGGATCCTAAGGGAAATCTCTAGAACTCTTAATAGCAAAACCCCTCCTCCGGCACTTTGCTTTCCACACCCTAACGGCTTCAGTCTCTTCGGATCCTTAGTTCAGTCAGAATGAACTGTTCACAATTCTTCCTCTTTGTGCTAGGGGGTCCCTAAAACAAGGGAGAAGGCTGGGGTAACCCCTCTCATGAGTCAGTCCCACACTGCCTGTTGGCCAGGCTCTAAAAACAGTTGTTTTGTCTCTGTGTCCAGCGTTTTAGCTGGGCCAGGTAGTAGGCTAGACCAGTATCACTCATGCCATCATGGCCAGAGAAGTATCTATGCTAAAGTCTAGTGGCTCTATTGAAAATAAACAAAACATAATTTAGTTTTTAAAATCCCACCTGAGAATCTGTATTTTTTAAAAACTCACTGTTACTAACGATAGGCTTCAACACTCCTGTGTTTATTCATCTTGTCTTTTCTCTCTCTGTTTTGGTTCTGGGAACTGAACCTAGGGCCTTCCACATGTTAAGCATGCACTTTACTACTGAGCAACAATCCTGTATATAAAATTTTTTTTGGAGACACGGTCTCATGTAGCTAAGGCTGGCCTTGAACTTCTTTCGGATCCTCCTGCCTCCGCCTACTGAGTGCTAGAATTACAGTTGTGTACCACTATACCAACTCAAAATCAATTTCTTTATAAATCTTTTTTGATTGATTTGAGTTATACATTTCTCGTTTCAGATTTTAATATAAGTAGCTAGCAAACATTCAAAATTTTAGTTCCATCTTTTTAGATCATCCCATTATTAAAAGCGTCAGTAATTCACAATTACAATCTTATTCATTACCATCCGAAGCGGCCTCATTAACATCAGTTCACGCTTTTGTTCTCTTCCTTGAAATAAAGACAGCCTGGTGCCTACAGTCATGCTACATCAATCATAAATGATAGCTAATTCAGCTGTAGCGCCTCAGTCAACAGAAGGACACAGGGCAGGAACATTCACTGCAAGAGCGCCAGACCTTGGACAGCAGCTGCCTCCAGCGGATCTAATGAGCTCTCCTCAGCAGTGCAGACTAAACACTAATCTAAGGCAGAAGTCCCAGGGTACACTGTGTCAGAATGCCAATTACTAAGGCAGTCTTCCTTCTGGTTGTCATCACAATTCAGAGATGTTCTGTAGCCAAGAAAATCTGCGAAGCTGGAAATACCTTTGCATGTTTTAATGTTCAAGGGAGCGGTCTCAAAAGCACTTGGTAGTTCCTTGCCCCAAAATGTACAGGTTAGAAAAACACCTTTTCTCCACTAAAATGTAAGCTCTAACAACAATTTTTAAAGATTATTTTTTGGAAGTCATGGAAAGACAAACAGCCTATTAAGGAGGAGGGTTTTTTAAAATCTTAACTGAGTCTAAGGTGACTTTTCTAAAAGCCAGACAAAAGAAAAACTCAAGAGCAGGAGAACCAAGGGTCTCCTGGGCCTTGGTAAAACAGTGTTCTAATCCACAGAATACTATTATTTTAAGCAACGCGACAGCAGCTAGAGGAAGCTTTCTGGAAGCAATCTGATAAAAAAACACTTACTTTTTGCAACAGAGACACAGTGAGAGCAATCTGTGAATTATGAAATATATAATTCCTAAGTCCCTGGTTTTCACACCTTTCTTCTATTTTATACCATTTTAAGGAAAAATGTCTTATGTCATAATCACTTGTTTTTCATGAAAATCTACAATTTGTGCAAAAAACATTAACAAAATCAAAACCCTGGAGCTGGAAAGATGGTACAGCACTGGGTGCTCTTGCAGAGGACCTAGGTTCGGTTCCCAGCACCCATACAGCAGCTAACAATAGTTCGCAACTCCAGTTCCAAGGGATCTAATGCCATCTTCTGACCTCCATGGGCACTGTATGACATGGATATACTTAACATACATGCAGGCAAAACACTCATACACCTAAAATAAAAATAAATCCAAAGCCCTCTTCTGACCTCCGCGGCATTGCACGACATGGGCGCACTCACATACATGCAGGCAGTACACTCATACACCAAAAATAAAAATAATAAAATATTTTTTTTTAAAAGTAAAACCCTAAGAATCACT